GCCGTGGGTTGTGTGTGTGGCTGTTGCTTGGGGACAGGGAGGGGGCTGACACCTGTGAAGGCAGCAGCGGGAGGCTCAGGGTTGGGTCCAACAGCCACACGTGTGTCCTGGGGCTCCTTCAGGGCCCAGCTCGGGGCTTGGCTGACCCTGGGCTGGGTGCTAGCTCCAGGTGCGCTGCGGCTGAACCAGGCAGCCCTGGCCCATGCCTCTGGCCGCCAGCTGAGGCTGCTGCCCCGGCAGAGGTACCTGCGGGCGGAGAGGGCTGAGGTCAGTGCCCTGGAAAGGAAGAGGAACGTCCTCTGCTGCCTCATCACCCGCATCCTCAAGGTGGAGAAGCAGCTCCACATTGACAACCTGGTGTTTAGGGTATGGAGGGCTTGAGGGGCAGAGAGGGGCCGCTGGGTGCTGCGCTGCACTGTACTGCAACGTGGGGCTCCCTTGCTGCTGTAGGTGATTGATGCCTGTCAGAAGGGTGAGTTGGGTCCAGGGCTGCAGTTCCTGAGCTTCTGCTGCCACAGCGTGGACGTGCTGTCCTGTGTCCTGCACCTGCTGAACCAGGGCTATCTCCGGCGCCAGGAGGAGAGGCCTCATGTCTTGGAATACATCTCTGCTGAGCCCACAACACCTCTTGGGGGCCAGGCACAGATGGTTTTCCAGAGCAGGCCACCAGAGGCATCTCAGGATAAGGACAGCATAGACTGCCTGTATTGGTAGGGATGCATGTCACCAGGTGTGGAGGGGTGTGCATCTCCACCATGTATGGACATGATCTTGGGGGCCAGGCACAGATGGTTTTCCAGAGCAGGCCACCAGAGGCATCTCAGGATAAGGACAGCATAGACTGCCTGTATTGGTAGGGATGCATGTCACCAGGTGTGGAGGGGTGTGCATCTCCACCATGTATGGACATGACACATTTCTCCATATCAGGTTGAATCCTGGCATAGGCAGGTCGGAGGAGTTTCTCATGGCAATGCTGCAGGTGCCAATGGGGCACACACTTAGTCCAGAGGAGGCGAAGCTGCTCATGAACCAGACAGTACAGCAGGTCCAGGATACTCTGAGCATCCCGGATGATGTTGCTCGGCACCTCCTCATGCACTGCAGGTGGAATGTGGATTTCCTGATCCAGTGCTATGTGGAGAACCGTGAGACCCTTCTCATCTCCTCGGGGCTGCAAGTGCAGGATGCCCAGCCCACCCCGAGCCCAGGAACCCACTGCCCAGTCTGTGTGAACCAGCTGTGTCCCACTGAGAAGCCACCAACCCTCTGCTGCATGCACTACTGCTGCAAGGTGAAGGTCCTGGGGTCTTTGACTCCTGTAACTTGGTAGGGAATTGCTGCTGCCTAGTTGGTGGCAGTTGGTTGGCTTTGTCTGAAGCTGTTATTCAGGTGATTTTCACAGACCTCATACATTCTCTTTGCTCAGCTCCCTTGTTTGTTGTGACCCTTCAGGTCCTGATTAGTCTGTCCCACTTTTGTGCTTTTGAGTACTTACCCACAGTTTGTGGTGGTTTTGTGCACCCTCTGCTGGGTGGGGTGGGCTTCCAGGGACACATGACCCAGGTGGTGCAGCTCCTGTTTAGCTCTGACCTCTCCTTTTCTGCCTTCACAGCCCTGTTGGAGTGAGTATCTCACGACTCGCATTGAACAGAACATGGTTGTCAACTGCACCTGTCCCATATCCGAGTGCTGTGCACAGCCAACTACAGCCTTCATTTGTTCCATCATTTCCTCCGAGGAGATTATAGCCAAGGTGAAGTAGGAGAGGTGGTTACTGGGTGTCCAAGCTCTGTTTCATTTTGGTCAGCACCAGGAGATAATCTTGCTGCTGCTTTTCCCCTTCCCATTACTAAGACTGGCAGTGTGATAATTGAGGCAGACCAGATTTCTGCCCGTTGGTGTCTGTTGTCTCTGATCATGGTCAATACCAGCTATTCAGGAAAGCATAACATCAACAAAAGAGCACAGTGGTATTTCCTCTAAACATGTCTCCAGCAAACAACATTTCAGGTGCATCCTTAGTTGAGGACCAGGTGAGAGCTGTGGTAGCCGCTCATGACAAGTATACTCTGCTGGTGTGCTGGAAGCAATTGTAAAATCTAGGACAAATGAAGAGAAAACATTTGAGCAATTTCATTTTATTGCTGCACCAATGACCCCAATGTCCTTTCTCTTCCATCAGTCTCTGGCTTTGAGCACCTCAGGTTTTTGTGAAGATGACAGAAGTTACCACATCAGACTTAATCTTGATTCTAATTAAGTCTGTGTGGGTCTACAGACATATCTAAACCAGGCTTCCTGAGCTATGCTCACCTTAGTCCTCAGTCAGCAGGGGGCAGCAGGAGCTGCTTTTTCCGAGGCAGAAGCTTCTTTTTCTCCCTATTCTTCCAGTTTTTAGTTATTACTTAGAGCTGAATGCCCTCCCCACCTAATGGCAGAGCTGTGGCTGTCACATGATAGACTCTTTTTGTTAATTGCTGGACAGAACAGGTGTCTCACCTGTTTTCCACTGCTTTGTTGTTTGACAGGTCTCCACCAGCAATTGCTTCTCCAAAAATATTCTCCTTCTCTTCTAGCTTGTTACTGTCATTATGATCCTGTGTGAACACTCATAAGGAGAAATGAACAGTAGTCATAAAGACTTCTCTATCTTACAATTTTTCTTTAAGCTTGCAAACTGGCAACCAAAATGGGCAAGCCTACGGAACAGCATTTCCTTCAATGTATCTTTTCTATCTTGTTTTCTGTAAGAAGTGCTTGGAGAATTAGTGCATGTATCTGGGCAGTTCTTACTGGCTTTGCAAATCCTGTAGTCACACCTGTCTGAGAGCAGGATTTAATATCCTGTTGCTATGGCTGGGTTTTTTTAAAAAAAAAAAAAAAAAA